TGTGTGTGTGTGTGTGTGTGTGTGTGTGTGTGTGTGTTTGTGTGTGTGTGTATGTGTCAGAGCTGTTGTGAATTTGTTGATTAGAGAAGACGTCTTCTGAGTTCAAGGCCCGTCACACACTGTGCTTGAGATGAGTTACGTTGCAGCACAGAAGCATAATTAAGCTGTCATCAATAAGTGTAATGAAAAAAAAAAACGGGATCATCAGAAAATAATCAATATCTCCACAATCGAGCGGGATCGGCAGCCCCGGCTGAGAATAGCAAGCCGGTCTGATTGACGGTCCCCGTGCATGATGAGCTGATCTCCAATTAAATCGCAGCCGTATCTCCCCGCTAGCCGCGCGGTTAAAACCACTTGGATACGCAAAGTGGACCGATCGCGTTAAGATGCCACAGCTTATCAACAGGCAAGGCCAATAGAAGGCTCCCACTGAAAGGAAGAAATTGTGTGCTATAGCAACAAAGTGGCTCGAGGATTTTACATGGGAATCTCATTCCTCAGTATTGACAGTGCGTCAGGACGGGCAACGTGCGCAATGTGCGAAGTCACCAAACATATTGCGCACACATGAAGCCCGCGGTAGACAGCAAATCTCCAGTCACGTTTGGGTGCTGGTGGTGAACATATGGCTTACCTAAAAGACGCGATGCAAGCACCGGAATTAAGATGAAGAAGAGGATGATGATGATGATGATGGCCCGTCCATCTAAGCACGATTCTTCTTTTCTATCCTCCGTCGGCGTGTCGATGATCTCCTAACTAGGCCATTTCTCCCCGGCTCGCAATTATTTCTCAGGAGAGCAACGCAGTCGCAGGCTTCCGCACATCAGCACACCTTCTCGGTGTCCGTCTTTCTCCGGCTTTTCCAAAAAAAGCACACCTCATACTGGCCCCCTCCTCCTCCTCCTCCTCTCATCCCTCTCTGACAACACCCCTGCTATGTTTCCTTCTCCACGGAATATTTGACTTTTTCTTTTCTTCTTCTTTTTTTTTAATCAGGCGGAGACGCAGCAGCGAGTGCGACCCAAACACGGGAAGGAGAGAGGGAGAACGAGAGAGGGGGGGAAATGAACTCACAGGAAAATAAATGCGTAACGCTATAGCGTCAGGACTCGCGCGTCGCTTCAAAAGTCAACGCAGCGATCTGTCCTCTTTCTCTCCCCCCCATTTGCCCGCGCTGATAATAATCCGCGGTGTGCGCCCCCGCTGTGCCGAACGGCCCCCTTTAAAGAAAAAAAAAGATTACAGGTTGACTGACTTAAAACACGAAACAGCGCTCCAGCGAAGACACCCCACCGAAATCAGGTGTCCAATCTCTTCTTTGCGCGCTTGCGTGGTGCTCTCTCTTTCCCTCTCTCTCTCTTCACTTGGTCTCTGATGCTAAGGAGAGAAAGCTCGGAATGAGAAAACAGAGCCCGCACCTTCCGATCAGCCCTGCTGCTTTTGGAACAACACCTGAAAGGTTGTTAATATCAGGATGATGCAGTGGTATTTATTTTTGAAGCCCGCACTGAAGGAGATCCCACTGCTTTTCAATCTCCCTCTCTCGCTCTCTCTCTGAGCGCAGTCTCATTGACTCTCGCGCAATATTTCAGTCTCACTGCTAGTTGTCATGACGAGGAGGCGAGACGCATAATTCGGCGGAAAAGGGCGCTCGATCTGCTGAAATACTCGCGTGGAAAAGCAAAACGCGTTTGCTTCCAGCGTTTATAGGTGATGATCTGTGCCAGGCTGACGTCCGATTTTTGTTTTCTTCTTTTTAATTTTTTTAATTTATTTTTTGTTACTTTTTTGGTGGGTGAAATATGAAACACCGTAATATACGAATGCACGGGTTACATATAGAGCAATAATAATACAAATAACAGCAACAATAAATACTTACTAATAATTTCTGCTTCCTGGTTGAGTATAATATTTAAGGAAAATGAGCATGGATGCAGAGCTCAGCTGGTACACAGTAAAGACTACCTGCATTGATGTGACCACTAGGTGGCAGCACAAGCACAACATGCCAGCCAAACGTGACCAGTTAGTGTCCCTAATAGCGTATTCAAATTAAATCGTTGGGGTTCACCTCAATGCTGTGAATTGGCGCCATATAAATACAACTGAGCTGAATGAGTCCTGTTGGCAATCAATTGTTTGATGAATCTTGCCACGATACTAACTTTCTATTAAGTTCTGTTTTGTTCTTCGCTCACCCTCGAGGGAAATATGTGGCCCTTCAGCTGCTAGATGCTTTCTCTGTTTGTCATTTGGTCCTCGACAGGTAGCATGAAGCAGGGGGCTTTAAAGCTGTTTTTGATCAAAGTAATTGCGGCTGCATCTGGAAGCGATGCCGATAGGAGCACTGAGGAGGGTAAATGGACTGCACTTACATATAGCACCTCTTTACCCTAGCTCTTTACAAAGAGCTTCAGCATTTTTCTCTCTCATTTTAACCACATAGACACCAAGACGACAGGAGGAAACTTGCTGAAATTTTGCCCAAGGACACAGTGGGCCCTAAAAGTGAAACAATGAAGACGGGGGCCAAAGAGAAGAGGTCAAGCAAGTCAAGTGATGATTGTTGGTCGATTCATGACTCATTAGTGAGTCTTCCCATACAATCTGTGAGGTGTATCATCGCACAGTGTCATGTAATTAATATATCCTTAGTGTTTATTTTCTTTATTATATTGTTTTATGTACTTTAATAATGAAGGTTTGTAAAGCAAAGCCACTTTTGACTCATAAACTAAGTTCAGACAGGTTGCCCTGGTAATGGACCTCAGAAGGGGGAAGTTATTGCAAGCTGCACAGGACGTTTTAGTGCACAGGCATATTAATAAATCAGACAAATAAATCAGACACAGAAAAGAGGAACTGAGTAGAAGGAGTTTGTTTGTAATGAAACTGTGTATGTCACGTGTGACGTGTGTGACGTCTGAAGTACCAAAATAACACTATGTAAGACACATGTTGAGCTAAAAATGTTAGAGTTTCTGCAACTGGCTTTTGGGGCTGTGCAGGGCTCTCACTTCCGGAAGATGATTGAATAAAAAGAAATATAAATGTTTTGACCACTATGAGTCGGGTTTTCTCTGTTCTATCACGGGGACAAAAGAATCGGGGTTAATAACAGCAAATTTTGGGTGTTACCAAGCTGTGGTCAGAAGAAGCAGAGTGTGAAGATGACACTCAGTATGCTCGCTTTGAATCCACAGTTCAAGCTTACAAACCTCATGATGGAATCTTTCTAGTCACAGGAAAAAATGAGCCAAGACGTTCTGTAATTTACCCAAACAAGCCTCTTTCGCTGGATGACTGAGTTCTGAGTTTCAGATGGAGGTTGATGCGTCTTTACGGTCAGTGAGTCAGGCGAGGAATTCAGTCATTCGATATAGTTTGGAGCCCGGGATGACTTGTGCAAGGTCTTCGGGGTGACTGGACGTACAATCAGAACACACTAGAGGGATGAAGTATCCCATTTTGCCTTCAGAAGGCAGCTTGATGTCTCATGGAAAGAAAGATGTGGCTGGAAGTATGTCTGAGCCACTTACTAAATGCAGCTAGGTGGCAGGAAATGGATAGATGGACGGACAGATAGATAAATGCACACTAGATTAGCCTTCAATTATGATAGCCATTAGTGCAGAGGAACTGCACCGTGACCCTGTAACTCACTTAAGCAAATGTTAGCGGATCTTAGCAATATGTCTTTGCTATGTACAAAAATGATGCCTGCTCAGTGCAGTGAAATACAAAGAGCACTGGACTCTTTGAGTAGTTTAATTGTGAAGTGAAGAGGTCTAGCTAGTTTCACCTGATCTAAGATGCAAAACTGTGACTTCATTACTGTTAGTTTAAACTGACCCTGCGTTTTTAAAATCCCCTTTTCTGCTTTCATTTCTTAAATGTGTGTACAGTGTTTAATCATCCATTTCTAACCCCTGTGAAACAATACTGTCACTTAGAAGTGTTCTGAAGTATTCTGACATATGAAATAAAGGGGGCTGATATTAAAAGGGCACAATTTCCAAGGTCAAGATTTCGGTAGGTTAAATGTATCTTATAAAGACATAGAATGCACCAAGGAAGAGTAATCACACACCGTTAGCAAAGTCTTGTTGTCAACCTGGACAGAGAACCTAGAAAAGGGAGCTGATACTATTTCTTCTGGGCCCGTGCAGAGGGAAATCTTTTTTTTTTTTCACCATTCCTTGCGCAGAGGGCAGATCTCAGGTGTCTTGTTAAAACGAGAGGGGAGATACGGTAGGTACAAAGGTCCCTGAGGCTCTGGCCTCTCATCATAGGTCAGGGAGAAGATTAAAGGGAGTCAACAGCTGCAAGAGTATCATCTGCTTACCAAATATTATTAACTGCAACAACAAAGCAGTATGTGACCAGACTGGGAGCTGGAGCCTTTGCTGTCAGAAACTGTGAGTGGGAGAGAGTTTTTTTTTTTTTCCTGGATTGCATCACAAGCGAGATTTTCAGGGGAGAATAGTGAAACTCTGCCCTGCTGAATTAAACTGCCGACTGGCTTGGATTGCATTCAGCTGGGGTACAAGCCTATTGTAAATCAAGGCTGTGCATGCTGATCTCCCATCCATGGGTTGCAAAAGGTGGTATATGACTGGAAGAATTTGTAAATTGCCCTGATGTTGATTCAAAAAAGTACAAGAAAAGATAACTTTGTATCCAGCGGTCAGGACTGCTGCAAAGTACACGTTCTCTCTAGTCAGATAAAATCCCATTTCTGTAATCCTGTATTAAAACGCTGCCGTGCTCATTAAATAGACTCTGAGCTTCCCATGCTAACTGACTGAACAGCATCAAACAAGCACACAAGAGAATTAGACAAGCCACGGGATCCAGTGCATGAGGAGACAGCGCATTTCCTGTATTCAGATGTTGTAGAACACCTCCCTCTGCTGGATAGATGCTGTCATTGCATTTCTAGACAGTCAAAGGTCTATTTGAAGTGCTTAAAGTACTTCGAGGGTACACAATTCAACTCGGCACCCCCGTTTTGTACTTTAAAAAAACTACTAATGATCTTAAGTAGTGAATGTGTGTGTGAATGGGTGGATGACTGGATATGTAAAGCGCTTTGGGGTCCTTAGGGACTAGTAAAGCGCTATATAAATACAGGCCATTTTACCATTTAAGTAAGTACATACACTCATAAAAGACTTGAAAAGCGCCAGTGTAGTAGGACAGCACACCATCATCAGTGGAAACATTTTGTGAATACTTACATTTCAAAATGAGTTAAACAGTCTAAATCTAATTCACTTATTACAAAACCCCTCTTTTCAATTAGTTTTTACAGTGTCTGCAGAGAGTAATCAGTAAAGGAAAGCAAGCCGTGTCCTTTGGCTAGCAAGATATGCTTTATAAAACTCTGGATGCGCTGTGAAAAGAAGAAGGTCATAAAACTGCATTGTAAAAATGTAGAGCCCACTCTCATTAAGTTAACGGCTGTACTGCTGCTATAAATGCACTGCTGTGGAGCTCAGGTCCTTATCCTGCTAGCTGTTTAAGAAACAGGGAGGAACATGTGATCAGCGACTGTGGTTGGAGTCAGAGCAGCCAGACAGAAACTTTGGAGCTTTAGGTTATAAATGGGAGTGAAAAATACTCATGACAGACAGAAGGCTGAAGGATGGTGACTATAGTTTTACCATTTCCATGTCCATTTAGCATGTCATCAAGGATCTAAACACAGTAAGTGTTAAATATCCAGGATGGATGTCTTCTCTTTTACCAATCCATTATTCAGTGTGAAATATCCAGATGACCCTGTCATATCATAAAGGTAACCATGAATCATGTATAGTACTGTGAAGGTAATTAAGCTAATATTAAAATAATGATAATGTAAAAATAATCTTACTATGATGATCAAAGCATATGTATATGATCTGTATGTGCCTTATCTCCTCCTTAATGGTTGGGACAATCTGAATAAAACTTTGCATGAATATGCATGAGCAAAAATTCAATTCAATTCCATTTTAATTCTATAACGCCACATCACAACATCAGTTGCCTCAAGGCGCTTAGCATGCATTTTCAGTATATGAGTGCACTTGCTGCCAAATGCAATGGTCAGATCTGTTTATACGCTGAAAACTTGGAAAAATCGAGCTTGGTTGATTTAAAAAAAATAAACGCTTGTGACACATCCGGCAAAATTATGAGGACGGTGTGAACAGCTTTGTTAAGAATTAGTGAATCCACAAAAGATTTTTAACGCATCAAACAGTATCACGCATTTTACACATCTAGTACTCTGAAGGTTAGTTTTCTGCTGTACCTCAGTATTTTTACTTTCTGTTGTTTTTTCCTTCTGTGAGAACGTCAACCCCATCCTACCTATTGCCACCTGTACCAATTACTTTCCTGTTGTTTAATGAGACAACTATCTGTTTGTATCACTTCTTGTGCACTCCTGTTCTTGGATTTAGTCCCTGGTTTCCAGACCTCGCCCTTTTTTCTCTTGGGTTTCTATTCCTTTACTTTTTAGACTTTGTTGTT